ATAGGATTTTTATGATTTTATTGCTTGGCTTTTATTAGTGGAAACAGTTTCTTGCACACCTAATGTGGATTATGCTAACTTAGCACTCACATGTATATAATTTTACTGTGCCTTTCATTCAACATTTATATCACCGCTAGGATGGATATCTCAAATTTATCTGGCTTTCTAACTGAGCTATAAATAGGTTAAAGATATTCTGATACTGCCAAAGATCAATGGCTTTTCTTAACACAAATTAAATTCTCCTTCAAGACTACCATCTTTCACTGCCAAAAATAAAAAGATTTACATATATATATAGAACATGGTCTTTCTACTGGTTATAAACATGTCCATCAGCAGTGTACACTTATTTATATAATTGTCTTGAAATACATAGAAGGCTGGGAGGGGTTTCTCTAGAGGGTTTGACAAACTTATTGATATTTCAACAAATCAAGAAGATAGGAGGGTCAGATTTTATATTCTTGCTTGTTTCTATTTGATTAGACTATATAGAAGTTATAAAATGTAGAGGGGAGAACTTCTATTTGATTAGACTATATAGAAGTTATAAAATCTAAAGGGGAGAACTTGCGGGACAGATGTGTTAAATTGAAGGTTGAGATTTTTTTGAAATATTTCCATTTGAAATTAAAACTTTGATATAAAAAACTTAATTATCAATTCGTACCATACATTGATAATAAAAGTTTAAATTATGAATGTAAGTAAAGGGTTGTGAAGTGCATTCTTTTAGTGTCCTATGGAAAGCATTAACTCCAACTGGGCCAACAAAAAAAACATTTAAAGATTGGATCTTGTGTGTATGAATATTGTGTCAAGAAGTCCTGTAAGACAGTCATGAAATGTGTATTGTTTGAATATGATATCAGAAAAAATTTATATATTTCATGCAAATATTTTTACCACAAGAAAAGATGACCCCATTTTTGACTACTGTGTCAATTGCCAATGGAGTTACTGATGTATATTTACTAGCTAAAGCTTAGAGTAGCTATTATAGTATTTCACTGGATAAATTATAATTGTTTATCTATCAAGATGTCTGAAACTGGATGATCACAATCAGAACTTGTGACAATGAACACACACACACGTATATCCTATTAGAGAGAAAATGAAAGTTAGAAACTACTCCAGTGGATTTAATCTTTGTATATCAATATCTCTTGTTCAATTTCATTTTGAATTGCAACTACTGGAGATGTTGTCTTTCATATTTTTTGTGTGGTTTTCTTTTAAACGTTAATATCATTAAACAATAATAACTAAAGATAGTTACTCATTCTGTATGTTGTTATTTAAAAATCAAGATATAATGAGATGTATTCTAACCATCAATTAATTTTATAGTTACGACTTTTTTTTTTTTCTCTTCCAGTTATGGACATCTGACACTCAAGGTGATGGAGAAGAGGCAACAGAAACTCAAGAAAACTAATCTTTCCTGCATTCCCCTTTTTCCTGCTGCAATCTCCAAAACAATTAAGCCTTTCATTAATGAAAAATTGTATAATGAAACACTAGCATAGTCATTAGAAGTTACAAAACTAAGAGAATCTGGTTAAACTATAATTGAATAGCTATAAAACCTGAATAATCTTACAGGATTTTTTGAAGTTTGTGGCCATGTAGCTTATTTAAATTGCAATACAAGCTGACATATAGTCAGCATAATAAAAGTATGCCAGCCAGTTTGCCCTATTTCATCACTGGTCTTTCATGAATTCAGCTTTATACATTGTGATTTTAATTTTTACTTCCCAGGCTTGAATTGTTAAGTGTAATTGAGAACAAACTTGCAAAATATATAATTATCAAACTTTCAGTTCACGGAAATGTGTTTGATAATGGGGGGGGTATTAATAAATGTACTGCTGTTATATAAGGCTAAATTGAAGCAGTAAAAAGAAAACCAACTATTGTCTTTTTCGGTGTAGTGACCCGTCATTCGTAAATAATAGTCATCTTCTGTAGAAACTACGTACAAATTGTTTAAACAAAGTTTATTTAGGGGCCTAGCTTTCGAACTGGTCAACAGTTCGTCAGGGGGTTACAAGGTATCAAAGAAGCAACAAGTAACTGACTGAAATTCGAAATTGTAGCATTTTTAAGTAAGGAAATATTGAGATGAGGAAAACAAAGTTTATAACGTTCTTGAAAGGTTTGTTGACAAGCAGAAGTAAACGTGCGAAAATTTAAAATGTGTAAGCTATTACGTGTCGGGAAACACCATTCGGACATTGACGTCACTTTCCCCACTAAGAGATATACTGAAAACTTACACCAAATTAAAGATTATATATTAATATCCATATTTTAATCAGATACAAGTTACTACTAGTGTTGCCAAATTGGACAATTTCCAGTGTTTATGTCGTGCGTAACACGACCCACCCGATTTACCCCACCCTTTTATAAATAATTACCGAATATTGTATGATTCATTGCTTCTATTTTGTGGGAATTTTAACATAGCATAAAAAAAGTAACGGAATTATTGTTAATAACAGTAGAACAGTGTTTTATCGGGCAGAAGTTTGCCTGGCAGGAATTTAAATTGGGGGGGTTTAAAGTATTTTATGTGACAGAATCTGGTACTTCTTTTGTACCTTCTAGTCCATCTGGCGGAAGAGTCCTCGTTAAGAATGTTAGGTACTTAAAAAAACACGTTACCACTTGATTGTTTTATTATTAATGTTGTCACGTAGACTACTAACCCATTATTATTATTATTACTAAGGCGATTAATTGTACAAATCAGTACTTCTTGTGGAGAAGAAAACGTAAATCTAGTTTACTGCAGACATAATTATGTAAAACCCCAAATTTCAACCATGTAAGTCTTGTATTTTTCTGATAAAGTTTGGTTGTGTAATAAAATTTGTTAAGATAAGTGATCGTTTAAAATAAAATATCTGTTCTCGTTTATTGACTTAATGTAGAAAATTGAACCGAGTACACTAGTTGACATATGTTACGTTGCCGATATCAATGACATTACCAGCGAAACGCCGAAATTATTTACTTGTACACACACTTCATTAACTTCAGATCAAATTTATTTGGTACTTGTAAAAGAAACCAATGGACGTGGGAAATTGGATTTATGAAACTAAGATTTATTACGCGCAGAAATTCTCCTTCAGGCAATTTCATACATTTTTTTTTGCATTAAATACATTTTATTAATTTCTTTTAAAAATATATACGAATAATCCAGTACAAAGAGAAACTATACTGTTGTTAAATAAAGATAATCAAATGATCGATTAAACTACCAAAACTCAAACAACCGTTAAAAAAAAAATGTTAAAAAGTAGGAAACCGTAAAATTAAACAACTAAAAAATAATTATTCACAAACAAGGTAATTTAATGTATATAAACGTTTAAATAAAACAGATATATTAAAAAAAAAGTGTCGCTCGTTGTTATAGGAAATTGAAATATTAATAAATAAACATTTTCCAAGAACGAAGCAATAGATATTTTAAGAAAACTAAAATAAGTTGTTTCCGTGTCGAGAGATGTCGCTCCTGTAGCTTTCGTCGATAAATGTGTGCAAAACCCGGATGAATGTTTACCCGGTGATGATAGAAAATCTACACTTACCGGGTCTACGCTCATCAGGTGGGTACACTAATTAGGTAATCCAGTGAGTTGGAAATTATCGTCGTTATTTACACTTCACAGGAACACAGAAAATTCGAATAGGATTGGAAATTATTTTAAATATAAATCGGCTCTCATTATCCACAGATTACTATTAGCGTGACAAGTTTAGCAGGATTTCATAACTATATTTATTAAGAATAGCAAACAAGGCGTATATGTTTATATGTCTTAGTGATTTTTTTTATCAACTTGTCGTAACTAACAAAAAATAAGCATAAGAAGCCTTAACATACAAATGACACTCATTGCTCCTTTGCCAGCAGTTAGGGGGTAAGGGAAGAATAAAAGGACTTTTATAGTTGATCGTGAGAACGCAACTACAACTACTCGTAGATCAGCCCGATTACCTGTCCTTGTTGTTATATAGGCTTAATAGAAATTGTGGTGCGCTGTAAGGCGAATCTTTGCCTTGATAAACAGCGCAAGCGTCAATTGAAAAACTGTTAGACTTAAATATAAGGTGGGGAAAATAAAACTTTTATGCTATGCCTATAAGTTTATCAAATAGCAGGCGAGGAAAAATTAAAACTCTAAACAAGGTAATTAACATATTTTAGTAAATCACATAATTTTAAAGCCCGTCTATAGGTGAGAAATTTGTAAACGTAAATAAGGAATGTTTGGTTATGAGATCAATTATGTGAAAAGCAAAAAACTACAAATATAATTTATAAACAAAAACGTAACACAAAATGGTGGTGATGTTTTATAGTGTAATAAACTGTTTTTGTTGCTGCCCAAAACGGCTACATATGAGAAGGATCAGCTAGTGTCACTGATACTAGGGGTCGATTCCACGAACATCAGACGTTATAAAGTGTCAACTGAAGAAATGTCTCTTCCCATGGATGAGTGTGGATCTAGTCATGGTAACGGGAACACATGAACCAGACTCACAACCATCTACAGTCAAAGACATAATGTCAAAACTCCCATTTTAAGAGTGGTGCTCACCATCCTGTAACCTCCGGCACATTTTCCAAGACTATTGGTCGCCATGCTGGTTACTGTAACTGTGCAGATTAGGCTTAACTGGCATAAATAGAAATAAGACTTAATATATCAACTACGATGCAAAAGAAGCCAGTGATTCAGAGGTTAACAACTTTTGGAACTATGTCTTGAAACAAAATAATATCAGTAACCTTAATATCGTGTCCTTAACCCATAAAGGGATTGATTATACAAGAGGCCAACTTTTAAACAAACGAACCACACCAGGTCCGTAACTGCCAACATGGCGAACTACGCGGCACACCACTAACACCGTGGAACTTACTTCTCGACCAGAATGGGCAGGGACAAGACTGAAAACTCCCACCTTTATTATGACCAGACGGGCCAATCCGTAGCTTGAGAAACCTGGCGTGGTATGCTCGCCTAAGGGGACGCTTGTATCTGTACTCCGCGCAAGTTTAATGGAATGCAAGTCCATTATGACTATTTTCAACCGGCGACTCGAAGTCTGAGATTTTTAATAAATAGTAAAATCTAACAAGGTACATTATGAATTTTAAATATAACAGAACTCAGCTAACTTTGTAGTTAATGAGCATAACCAGAAAAATAACACTGGGGGACCTTCCTTAAAACTTAGATGAATTTAGAAACAAGCAATTTCCCACGAAAAACAAACAAACTTTAATCCAGATAATCTTCATACTTGTTTTAGATGTAATGTCCTATATAAATTCAGGCTCTTTATATACAACTATTTGCTATAAACCTTAACTCCCCTATACAGGAACAATCGTCCTGGCCGCATTCTACATTCCCAGTGTACCACCTCTAGAAACCGGTTCTCTGATGTGTAAGCTTATTTCTTTCAACAAGGCTTAATGCTACAGAACAGAATCTTAACAGCATACATTCTGTTTCGTTTATTCAACGCAGACGATTAGCAATACACAACAATATTCAAAAATTAGACCCAATGTTGACGTTGTTACTTTGTTAATATTTTCATCCCTGTTCCGTTTTGTTGTCGTAGGCCTACGGCGGAAGCGTAACACCAATTAAATTTTTTTGATGAGAAAAAAAAAAATCGATTTTTATGGCATAACTTTATTTCATTTACTTATATTTATATACTCAAGATAAAATAAGTAATGTGCTGATAATCCCATGCACGTGAATACCATGAAACAGCAACTCTAAATAAAAACCAACAAATGTTAGCCTTTAAGACTTTTAAAAACAAAATGACTCTTGTATTTTTGGCATATGGAAAGTAAAGATATGAATTTCAGTTTTCAAAGAACCATTATTAGAGGAATATCATGGTCAGTATGTGAAATTTTTCGTCCTTCGTTAATACCACTCAGTACAACAAACATGGTTTAGAAATTACATTGTCTGTCCTTCCCTTCAATTACTTAATGTAAATGTGCGACATCTATAAATCAATTATATTATTTTGTTTTCTCGTATTCAGATAACCCTACAATTTTTAATTATTCTCCGGCACAGTTCAGTAGTATTAAGAGTGTATTGTTATCTACATAATTTAATCAATGACTATGTTAACAATGATGCTTATCAAAAGATCGACAACTTAGCAGACTAGTTAGTTCCAAGAATATCTTTAGTAACTCCTCTTGAAATCATGAAACTAAATCAACGACTATTAAGTAAATTTATCCACTAAAACAGCGCTACAATTAGCATAAAATAAAACAGATTTGTTATTTATTATTTTAACTACTTCAGAAAACAACAACAATTTGCCTACCAGAAACTTCTGTCATTGCTGTACTAAGTAAACTGGAAAGTCCAAATCGTCTCCACCAAGAACTTAACCGATTTAAACAGTAGCCCTTTTATACCCGCGGTAACCTTGACCACTGGCCACCTCTAGGCAAATAGAATATTTCAATACCCGGATTATATCCCAGGGTCAGAACTCGTTCCCTTCCTTTGGTCAGGAACTGAAACAAAGAGGTCAAATGTTATTGGTTGATGGATATGTCCTTGTCATATTCTTTGGTTTTGCGGCCACCAAGCAAATTTCAAAGCAAGAAAAATATATTAAATATTGATATACACAAGAATAGAGCTTTTGTCGAGTCACCGACATATATACCAAACATTTACTTCACTAGAATATCTACAAATACCATATAAAGTATTTTAAATTAACATAAACATCATCGTGTTATTTTACAATACAAACTGTTCCCCTAAACACACATTTTAGAGAATTATAACACAATTGGCTTATACATCGATTTAAACAGGCGTTCTGTATGTTTTCTAACATAAATGACGTATGGATTTCAATTTCAATTGTATATATTTAAATACGTTGTTGTGCCTTGAATTCATATTTATTATTTTGCATCAGCCAACACTCTTGTGTTATATTTTGTTATTCCACAGTGATTGTGTTGATTTTAATTTAAACCTGTAGCCATTCAAAGTTATTTCAACAAAGTAACGTCGAAACATGTGGAGTCGTCAACTTTTTGAAGGCCATAGATAGGCCTAAATAAAATGTTTTTAATTGTGTACCAGTTTAACGTTGAATATTATTTATGATTTTAACTTTATACACAAGTGCCAAAATACTATAATTAAAGTAGAGCATGTTTATATGAAAAAATATTATTACAGTCAAAACTTATTTTTTATTTGCCGTAATTCGTTTTATTTAATAAAAAAAAGTCTTTAACTTCATAAAAATAATGCATTATTAATAATGTTTCAAGATAAATCGTGATATATTTACAATTTTGTCTATAGGTTTTCATTAGAAGGTATGTAACTTTTTTCCTCTAAAATCGACTACATTAACTTAAATTTGAGTTCGGAGGTCAGGCTGCCCAGTGACTAGCGTTCCGGTCTATGGACTTGTGTGTCCATGTCCGCTTAACGTCACCAAACACACACTAAAAATAAATAACAATAATACGATTCCGCACTTTGGCGCTGCGAGTAAGATTTAGGGTTAACGGTCAGATCGCGCTATTCGGACTGATAAGTGTAGCTCAAGGGTTCGCAGTTGGTTCCGTTGACCTTCCTCTAGCTTATTTCAAAATTAAATGAAGAGCTCGAGCAGTTAGCCTTTGAGTGGCTTTATGCGAATATTCTTAAACAAATAAACAAATCTTTCAATTCGCCATATTTTCATAATCTATGAAATACATATTATCCAAAAAGGAATTAGAAATTGTAGAGAAAACTATATAAGAAGCTATCCAACAAAATACATAGATTGTTTATTTTAAATTTTCAAGACA